GGGGGGGGGGTACACTGGATGCTAAAGGGTGAGAAAGATTCAGAAAGGCAAGAAGGGGCAGGAGCTGAGAGGCGGGATGGCCAGCAGGTGTTGGGAGAGGTCTGCAGGGCCTAGCAGGTGGAGGGCTAAGAGTCCACTGTGTCGAAAAGGTGTCAGCACAGCCCCTGGGAACACATGTCCACCTCATATTACTGTTAGTTGTTTGGCTGTTTTTCTTCATCAACTGACTGGAGGTCCATGAGGTAAAGCACTGTGCATTTTCAATATCCACTCTTAAGTTCCCATATTTGTTGATTTATTGGATAAAACTGGAATTGAGGAAAGTCTGAGATGCTTTTGCTTTGAATATTCTATACTTAAGATGATAATGACACTCCCACTTGGAAAAACATTTCCAACAGATGTCATGAGATGTTAATGGGAAGGAGGCAGGGATGGAAACAGATTGAGACAAGAGCCATAGGAAGGGAAGATGAAGACAAACATCAGGATTAATTCTTCAGGAGTACGACCCTTGCAGAATCCTGCTCAGACTGAACCTTGGAAACAGACTGAGTGGGTGTGAGACCCGACGCTGGCAAGGGCACGGGGGAGTGGTCAGCGCCGTGGCGGGTGAGACTGTCCCTCCCGGTCGCCTGGACGGTTTTGATACTTCAGGGGCATCGTGTCACTCAGCACAGTTGCTGACCGGACCCACGACCCCCTTACGGTCCAGCTCTCCTGCTAAGCAGCGGTCGCACGCACCTGTCACCTCCTCCAGTGAAGTCCTGCCCGCAGGTGTCTCCTCACTTCGCACCCACTTAAAACAGTCCACAGCTCCAGGGAGAACTGCTCAGTCCTCGGGGTCGGCTGGCTTTTAACTGTCTCACTAGCTTCGAGTTAATAAACATTCCGCGAGCACCTCGCGATCCCCGCGTCGGGGAGACACCGCTCAGCCGACGCGCGGACAGACGCCAGAGGCCGCGGGACAGACAGCACGCGGGGAGGGGCGGGGTCTGCGCGGCGCGCCGCGGCCCCGCCCTCGGGACGCGCTC